GGACAATGATCGTGACCTGTGTGGGGTGCTCCCAGAGAGGGGATAGAGGGAGAGGAGTTGGTAGGCTGAGGACTTCCTAAAGGAGGGTTTGGGGGTTTGAGACCACCTGTCTGAAGAGCAGCCCCCACCCCGGGGGTTTGTGGGAGAAGCAGGCAGGGAGCACCCCAGGAGGATAGCCTCCACCAGAGCGTGGTGTGGCTGTGGGAGGTCCGTGGGGCAGCATGGGCCTGGAGCCAAGACGTGGGAGGCTTGGCCGGGGTACCTCCCCTCTCTGTGCTTCAGTATCCTCCTCTGTGTAACGGCCCAGCCTGGCCCAGCCTGATGGCAAGGCAGTGGTTCCTGTGCCTCCCTCAGCCGCGTGGCACTAGGAAGCAATTTGGATGGTGTTGTCTCCCAGCTGTGTCTCAGAGTCTCCTGGGCCGCTGATGGGCAGGATCATAGTTCACATCTCACCGCCTCAAAATGAACACATTGCTCGGACGGAGCACAGCCCACGTGCTTCTTAGAAGCGGAGATGACAAGACTTTGTCTCACATGCTTTGACCTGTTGTCAGGAGGGGCCAGTCCCTGGAGAAGGCCATGATGCTTGGTAAATTAGAGGGTCCGGAAAAAGGAGGAAAGCCCTCAGCGAGATGGACTGACCCAGGTGGCTGTGAGGATGGAGTCAAGCACAGCAATGATTGTGAGGCTGGTTCAGGACCGGGCAGGGTTCTGTTCTGTTGTACACGGGGTCGCTATGAGTTAGAGGTGACTCAACAGCACTGCACACCACCACCAACTCCTCTAACCAGCTTGGTGGCTGGGGGGTGTGAACTTTGTGTCCCCTGAGTAGCACCCCAGCTCACTCAGGAACTTTGTCCCCGTGGTGAGTTCAGGAGGAGCTGCCTACGGTCTGCCCAGACTCACCGGGTGCTCTCAGCCTGCTGCACCCCCCTGTGCCTGGGCCGGTGGCTCAGAGGAGGCCCCAGCTCTTCCCATGTCCTGCCCGCCTCCTGACCAGCCTTCTCTGAAACACGGTGACTCAGATGCTCCCAGCTGACCTGTCGGGAGCCAAATACAAGAGTCACCTCCCTTGCTCTGACCTGCAGCGCTCCCAGGCCAGAGCCCTTCCAGCAACACCAGAGTCCTTGCTGTTGGTGGAACTCAGTGCCGAAGGCATTGGGAGGCACTGTTATCAGCAGGAGCCCTTTGAACAAAGAAGAAGAGGAAAGACTTCTGTCGTGCCCAGTGCCAGCACGCCTCTCCTCGTGCGAGGTTGGTGGAACCAGCCAGGAACCTTGTCGGTGCCTGCACCCCACAGGCCCTGGTGCCAACCTGCCTTCTTCCTCCCGTGCCTATGTGCCTGTTGGCCTTCTCTGCCCTGGCCAAAGATGCCTAAGGACGTGTGCTAATTGTCTCTCCCCACTAGGACTTGGGTTCTCAAACTGTTCTCCACCCTCACCCATGAGCTGGCTAAATGCAGACTTCCAGGCCCCAGTCCCAGAGAGTGTGAGTCTGGGGAAGGCCCAGGAATTAACATTTTTACTGCCCCCCCAGAGGGTCTTGATATTAGTGACCATTGGTGGTTGCTAGCTGCTTTGGGGTCGCTTCCGAGATACCGTGGCGTTCAGAGTCGAACTGCTCCATAGGGCTTGGGAAGCTGTGACCTTTCAGAAGCAGACCACCAG